GCTCTATACCTTGTTATCTCAGATTCTCCAGCATCAGCAGTTCCTACTATCTCTCTAACCCAGTGAAAAGGGCTTGCTTATACTGCAATTGGCCTTCCATCTGCTGTGGCCCCACTCACGTACTCCTGTCTAGGGCCTGCCCGACCGATCCCAGCCTGTGTCAGTCAGGGCCAGCAGCTCTTGCTGGCAGGACATCCTCTTCATGACTGTGGAAGACCTGACCTTGGGAAACTAATTGTTTGATAACTGCAAAATAAAGATATAGCTTCTGGGGCTGGAGAAGGCAGGAGTTCCATTCATTTCCCACATGTAGGACGTAACATTGAAACAGATCAAGACGCCGGAACAAGACTAGACCATTCAGCGCCTTGAGGCTGTTCTGCTATTCAATGACATCATTACTGATCTATGGCCTAACTCCATATACCTGCTTTTGGCCTACATCCATTAATATCTTTGCTCAACAAAAATTTATCCATCTCAGATTTAAAATTAACCATTACTCCAGCATCTACTGCCATTTGTGGAAGTCCGTTCCAAACCTCAGCCACCTTTTGTGTGTAGAAGTGTTTCTTAACATCTCTCCTGAATGGTCTGGCCCTAATTCTCAGACTATGCCCCTTAGGTTGAGAATCCGCAACTATCAGAAGACCGAAAAAGAGCTTGCATTAATGCACTCAGAACATTTGAGTGTTTGCAACCAAAATAGAAACTGTATCCACTTAAAGTTGGGAATGTACTGTGGTGCATAGATAATCCCCTTCAGTATAAATTAGGGAACACCATACTAACACAGTGTAGGCCACCGGTCAAACTACACCACAGTCCTCTGGCTTTGATCCCCCAACAGAGTCAGTGATAAATTGTTGTTTTGGCAAAGGTTCAGAGAAGAGCTGCTCAAGGACTTTGATTTATTTACTTTAAACCGTCATCAACTCCGAGGCAATCTTGTCATGATGCAGGTGATAAAGATTAGATAACATTCCTACTGACAAATTATTTAAATCTAACAGCCTTGGTAGAAGCAGGGGACATGAGTTTAAGTTATTTCAGAGCAGCAATAGACTGGGTGTTCAGTAATCTTGTTGTGGCAAGTTATAGAGTTATAGAGTTGTACAGTACGGAAACAGACCCTTCGGTCCAACGCATCCATGCTGACTAAGTATCTTAAATTAATGTAGTTCCTTTGCCAGTGTTTGGCCCGCATCCCTCTAAACCCTTCCTATTCATATACCCATCCAGATGCCTTTTAAATGTTATAATTGTACCAGCCTCCACCACTTCCTCTGGCAGCTCGTCCCATACATAGATCTATAGAGTCATACAGCATGGGAACAGAACCTTTGGTCCAACCAGTCCATGCCGAACATTATCTCAAACCTGCTTGCTCCTGGCCCATATCCCTCCAAACCTTTCCTGTTATTATTAGACAAGCAGGAGGCTGGAAGAACACAGCAGGCCAGGCAGCATCTGGAGGAAAGGAGCAGTCAATGTTTCGGGTATTACCCTTCTTCAGGACAGCATGTGGGGTTAGGGGGAGGTACAGATAAAGAGAGGGAGGGGTGGGCTGGAAGTGGAATGGTGGTGATAGGTGGACACTGGGAGTAGGTATAACCTGGTAGGTTGATGGGAGGGATGAATCCGGTTGGTGGCTGGAAGGGAGGTTCAGAAGGTGGAATGGAAGAGAGGAGGTGGGGCTGAAAAGGGAGACAGGGGATGGGTGGGAAGGTTATTTGAATTTGGAGAACTCAATGTTGAATCGTCTGGACTGTAGGGTGCCCAGGTGGGAAGATAAGGTGTTGTCCCTCAAATTTGCATTCCAAGTCACTGCAACATTGGAGGAAGCTGAGGACAGACATGTCAGGGTGAGTTGGGGGGGAGGGGTGGGGAGTGGGAATAGGCAGTGGCCAGGAGGTTAGTTTGGCCATTATGGGCCAGGCGAAGATGCTCACTGAAATGGTCACCTAGTCTATGTTTGATCTCATCGATGTAGAGAAGACCACATCAGCAGCACCAGAGGCAGTAGATTAGGTTGGAGGAGATGCAGGTGAAGCTCTGTCTCACCTGGAAGAACTGTTTTAGGGCCCTGGATGGAGGTGAGGGAGGTGGTGTGTGGGCAGGTGTTACATCTTTTACAGTTACAGGGGAAGGTACCGGGTGGGTTGAAATGATTGTTGGGGAGTGTGGCGCGAACTCAGGAGTGGTGAAGGGAATGGTCCTTGCGGAAGGCAGAGAGGGTTGGGGAGCGGAAGATGTTCCAGGTGGTGGAGCTTAATTGGAGTTGGCGGAAGTATTTGAGGATGATATGTTGGATGCGGAGGCTGGTGGGGTGGAACGTGAAGATAAGGGGATCCTATCTTCATCATTTTATGGGGGGGCGGATGCTTTAGATCTGTGGAGCGGGGAATTAAGGAGGTGCGGTGGAGGGCTGTCTAGAGGGGAAAAGAACATTGTTTGAAAAAGACGGACATCTGGGATACTTGGGAGTGAACATCTCCTCGTCAGAGCAGATGCGATGGAGGCGGAGAAATTGGTAAAACGGGATGGAATTTTTGCAGGATTCAGGGTGGGAGGAGATGTAGTCCAGGTAGCAATGAGAGTCTGTGGATTTAGAGTAAATGTTGGCCTGTAAACTGTC